AAAAAAAAAAAGGGTACCAAACAAGTTAGGGTAGAGAAATAGAGCCATAAGCACTTGATGAGTCTGGGAAATATGGGAGCCGCGGAGAGAAACTGAAATAAAAGATCAATACTGTCCTCTCTCTGCTTCTTTTAAGGAATCAAGAGGATTTTGTGGAAAAGTGACCACTTTGAGGCCAATTTCACGACAGGTAAGTTTTTCCCTTATCCTCTAAAAGACATGCGGACTTGACTTCTTGGGGAGACCTGACGGCCTGACGGGAGCGCGGGGAAGCGGAGCCCGCGGGGTGCGCGGGGCGAGGAGCCCATGTGGACGGAACCCGCGGGCCCGGCCCCGCACCAGGCGCGGCCTCAGGAGTCTGCCTGGGGCGCGCACTTGCCTTTTTCTCCTTTGGAGCCTCTTCTTCCCGGAGGACCCATTTTGCCTTTTACTCCTTGCGGCCCAGGGTGTCCAACTCTACAATATATAACTTTACAGTGGGAAAGGGGATGGGCAGAGAGAATCACACAGTTTTTGTGAATGTCTCCTACAGAGCAAGTGGGAGAGTCTCCTGCACTCCCACCTCCCCTCAGCCCCGCTCTCTCTTCCATTCCCTTCGACTCCTTCTCTCTGGCCTAAGAACAGACTACAGAGTTGTCGCATCACGCTTCTGCTCCGTAACCCTGGGCAGAGCCATCCTAACCTCGGCACTAAGTTCTGGGTTAGCAGAGCAAGGCAATGGACAGAAAAACCAAATGTACCAAAACAAAACAAACAAACAGAAAACTAGGAGTACGTGTATCACAAAGATCTTTCCCCCTTCAATCTGCAATAATTCCCGAATAAAGAAAGCATAAAGCACAGCTTGGAAAGGCTAAATTTCAGATATCTGATTAAAGACGACAGAGATAATGCAAACAATAGGTTCCCTATTCTCCCCAAATTCTGGTAAAATAACATACAATAAAAGAGTATTATAAAAAGGCATAAACCTCAAAACTAAGAAAAGGGAAACAAAGGCCAAAAAAATGTAAAAAGACTTAGCAGACCCTTAAAAAGCTGAATTCTAAAAAGGCAGCAAGGACCGCGAAGAAAGAACACAATTTATATCAGAAACCCCTCCCAAAGTTCAGGAATTGGAACCTCTGACGGAGAATGACAGTGAGGCCCCAAACAAGATGATTTGTTAAAGAAAGAATCAAATTATAAGATCCCTTCTCAAAACTGCAGCAGGCTAAAACAACAACCCCCCCCCAAAACTGCAGGAAGCAGTGTAGCAGGAGGAAAACTTTAAAAGAAACTATAAAAGAAACTAATATAATTTAAAAAGCAGGCAAAAGGAAACATTAGAGCACTAGCAACAACAAAATCCTTGGGAATTAGAAGAAATATAGGATGGCAGAAATTTGAAAATTCAGGAGCAGAGTTGGAAGAGAGAGGTGAGAAAATCTCCTAGAAAGTGTTACAGAAAAATAAAAAAGTGAAGAAAAACAGATTAAGATTTTAAAAAGAGACATGTAGGACTGAGTCTCTGACAAATTCATAGAGTCCAGAAAGAGAAAATGGGCAAGGGGGAGGAGAGAATAGCTTCAAAGAAATAGTTCAAGAAACTTTTTTCAGAAATGAGTGACCTGTGTTGGATTGAAAGTGCCCACCGATGGCCTGCAAATAAATACAAACGTATCCACACAAAAAGGCAAGTCATTGTTAAATTTAAGGACATCAAAAGCAAAGAAAAACTCATAAACTTCTAAGGAAACAGATTTCAAACAAATGATCAGGTATCTAAATGTCACTGAACCTTTCAGTAACAGCATGACAATGGAGAATGCTTTCAAAAACCTAAGAAAAAATATTTCCAACCTAGAATTTTATACTCAGCCAAACTATTGATCAATTTGTACAACAGACTGTCATTTTCAGACAGGTGAGATCCCCCAAATTTACACTTTTTCTCAGGAAGTATAATGAGAGAGTAAACCCTTGAAAGAAACAAGTAAGTTGTAGGAAACAGAGGGAGAGAGAGAGAGAGAATTCTCAGAATAATGGTGAAGGTAGATCTGAATGGTGAATGTCTCAGCAGAAGATTAAAAATACAACCTGACCTAATTTGAACAGGTCAAAAGCTCCAGGAGAGATTTATTCGAGGAGATAACACTGATAGAATATTTAATGAGCTATAATGTACTATTGGGAGATGTATATAATTCTAGGTGGGTTGAGGCTGAGTTAGCAAACACACAAAGGAAAGACAATTGTTAACAAAATGTTGTGCTGGAAAAGTAATGATATATAGTAGTATATCGCTGAACTAGTGAATAGCACTTTATAACTATTCATTGTAAACACTGGATATTTATTTAAGTGACATTATGATACTAACTGTATTTTCCGGTGTACACATGTGTGATTGGGAGGGAAGGGAAAGAGAGCTAAATTCATTTTGTATGGAGGGAATTCAAAAGCTAATGCTCAGGCTGAAAAATTAAGACATAACAATACAAGTATGTTGAATGGCAACATAGAGACAAATAACAAAAGATCCAGGAAGGAGCAGGAGGAGAGGTTGCCCAGCATGCCAGCTCATCATAACTGGCTTTCGAGACTGTCTGACCCCTAAACCAGGTCCAGAATAGCTCTGATAAAAATTAAAACTACACTTGAAAAATAAAAATTGTATTAACTTACAAAACTCTATCATCACACTTAAATTCTACACCAAATAGTTTCCTATGCTTTAATTGACTTGATAGTCCAATACCAGTTTACTTTTTGTAGTATTACTAATACTAGTTTGGCTCAGGAAATATTAAATAACTTTTAAAATATGTAGAAAGTAACATTTTCTGAATGCTGCTACAAATATCAAATTCAACGTAAATGCTAACGCCGGTGAATGAAGAGCACGTTACCATCTGACCCCGGAGGTCCCTGACGTCCTGGTGCTCCAGGCAGCCCGGGCGGTCCCGGGTGCCCTGGTTTTCCTGGAGCGGAATCAGGTCTCGCAGGAGCGCCGGCTGCCCCTGGAGCTCCCGGGTGGCCCGGAGGCCCTGGCGGCCCAGGGAGCCCCATCATGCCTCCAAGAGAAATCAAGAATGAAAACTACATGGACCCTCAGATTAAACATCTCTGTAGAAGAAATCAAATCAGTACATTTTTCGTTGGGCTGCGGAAGTTTTTAAAGGAGAAAAAAAACAAACAGAAACAAAACGTAATTTAAAGAATAACTGACTGTCCCAGCCATCAGGATGCCTCACCCCCCGTGAAATAAGCACACAAGTAGAAACAGGCAGGTTCGGGGAAACAGATTGTCTTCCCTTTTCCCCATTCTTAGTATTAGGAAAGAAATATGTATTATCTAATTTAAATTATTATTTTCAATCTTTCCAACTTGATAACTTGGTGAAAATAATATTAATAAGCACATTTAGTGAATAAAAATATAAACTCACATAATCATCTATACAGAACATAAAATGCCAAGGCAACCTAGGTGGCTAGGGAAACAGAGGTGCTGGATTTGAACCCAGCCTCTGCCTCTCCAGCCATAGGTATTTAACGCCTTTAATCCTACATGTGTTATCCCAGAGGCCTATTATGAGGGTTAAAGAAAATAATCCACATAAGAAGCTTAGTGCAATAGCTGGCAATAGCGCGTGCTCATGGGACAATTAAATTTCCACTGTGCTCAGAGGAGGCCAATGTGAGCAACGGAGCAGAAGCTAAATCCTGCTTCCCCTGACGTTCTGCTCACCTCTTGGGTGGCTTTGCCTTAAACACAGCTAGAAGCCTTTGGGTGACAGTGACCACTTCTCCTCGCTCTGTCCTCCTAAGCACTCCTGGTTCTAGAATCTCTCTGTGGGAGATCGTTGTTTTCAAAGACGGCCACATGGTAGCCAGGGAAATGCTCAACCACCGTCCATCAGGGAGAATGGGCTACGGTGTGTGGCATATGTCAGCCTTGACCGCCCGTTTGTAGAGCATGAGATCAATTAAGCGTGGCCAAAATTAAATTTTTTTTTCCAGAAGAATGACACAGCAAAGGAGGGCATCATATACTATAAAGGTATTATGTTGTGAAATTTGTGTTTCAATTATATGTATATGCGACACACATAGGTGTGTGATGTAATGTAAATAGAATACAGTATAAAATCATTTCTTACTCTGGGTTGTAGTCAAGATTTGAAAGACACTGAGCTAATTCTTTAAAAAAGAAAAGGCTTGTGGAATTAAGAGGCTTCCTGTTGTATTTGGTTTTAAATCTACTGGGCACATGTCACTTACTGCCATTGCGGTTTTATTTCAATCTGTTGGAGGCACTCACTTATTATAAACAAATCTGAAAGGAAAAATCTAAGACCAGAAGTCTAATGATTCCTGAACAAAGAATACTCTTCTGATTTATACAGTCTCAGGTCAAGTCAGCCAAGGCTGTGATGTCTAAAGATTAAATGAACTAAACAGAACTCTGCTAGCTTTGTGGCCATCAAATACCACAAAGTAGAAGCTAGATTCAGAAAGGATTAAACAAGAATGCTGGAGTTAGCAGCTGAATATCTCAGGAAACTCCTTAATTCTCCCAGTAAATATAAGAAGAGACACAAACTAGTTGACATTACATTTTTTCAGGACTTCTCCCCTCACGTTTAATCAGTTCTCCTGGGTTGGCAGAATGCAAATATCCTCTAAATGGCTGTTCCCAATCACACTGGGAATATTAACCAGCACAGCACTTGAAGGAGCTCAAAGTCCTTAGGTCAACAGAACTATTTCCCGGGCTCCATCAAATATTACCATGAGCTATAGGGGATTTATTTTTGGAGGGAGGAGAGAGGGGGGATTGCGGTTTTGTTGTTTTTAACTGAGGCTGAATCAAAATTTTACTTTTCAATTCATAGTTTGTATTTCTACATTTCATGTGGGGGATTTAAGTTGGGGGCAGGTGGATGAAGTCAATTTTGACAATTAGGTGTCAAAGGGAGACCTGAGGAGACATTCAAGCCCTAGCATGGTTTCCAGATCTTGTCTGCAAGTGATGCTCTGGTGACAGGCCTGTTACGCAGACATATTCGGTCACTGCACCCCTGCGATCCTGATGGATTATTTCTGAGGTGCAGCCCAGAATCCTGAGTTTCTTCCAAGTGAGTGAGTTACTGGCTGGAGTTCAGTGGCTCCTAACCCTGGCTGTACGTTAGAAATATGAGCATTTTAACAGGAGATGCCTGGGGCGATCCCCCAGAGAGCCCAGCATTCTTGGTCTGGGGCGGGCACAGCCCTCAGGGCTTTTGAAGGGCTCCTGGGGTGAGCTCAGTCTCCACCAGAGCCGAGCATCCGGGGTGCAGGAAGGCATACAGGCCTGTTTGGTAAGAGCCGGGGGTTCATACCTGGACAGGCTTCCCCTGGCCAACCTGGGGGGCCGGGGAGACCAGGGAGTCCGACATCCCCCACTTCTCCGGAGCGGCCAGGCAGGCCCGGGTCCCCCGGAGGGCCTGCCAGAAATAACAGCTGGTGACTATAATAAACGTATAGGAATATAATAAAATCCACACACACAATCACTCTATCTGAGGCTTGCTGAGATACAACTAGGAGACTGTTTTACAGTTTCCCCCACGTTTAAAATGTTCTCTCTTAGATCTGAGCCCTTCATCTGCTGCTGCTCTGCAGACACAAACCCTTGGAGTGGTGCCGCCTGTCACTGATTTAGGTCGCTCTTGTCTTGGAGGCGCCACCTTGGTAGGTCTTAATCAAATGGTTTTACGCATATTTTAACCGCTAAAAAAAACACCCACCCTACTTTCTGAAAGGTCACATAATAAAAATCCCAGCATCCAGTGGGCAAACTAAAATAAAACTTGGTGCCTTATGCCGACAAGAGTTGAACCAAGATGCACATCTCAACCTGTGCTTGTAGAATTCATACTCACACTAAAGTTTTTCATCTATTTAACCTGCCCAGTGTGCGAACTATAGAAACACTGGGCCAGATTCCTCTGTCAGGGACACTCAAACCCCATTTCCACATAATTAATGGAGGAACCGAATGAAACACAAACCTTTGAATGGGAGAGGTGGAGTTGTCAACACCCCTGGTGGTCCTGGGTACCCACGGTCTCCGGGATCTCCCTGGAATCATTCATTCATTGACTTTTCTTAGAAATAGGAATATTTTCTCATGTTGCCCAGCCTTAAATAAATATTAGAAGGACCAAGAGTCCATCTGTATAAGAAATAAAGACTATAGGCAGACTAGAGAAATGAATAGTTCATGGACTTCTAGGAAAAACAAAGTCATTCGACCTCCTACCTATAAGCAGAAATAAATAGCCAACTGGAAAAGTTCTCTCAAAAGAAAAGAAAATATTTTTAACTCCAATAAAGGCATTCCATACTCATAAATTAGATGCCTCCGATGCCATGAAGTTTTGTGAATATACCGTGAGCATCGATTTCTGGTTCGACACTCTAGGACAAATAGTTCACTCACCTATAGAGCTGAATCTACATTTTATTTTAGCAGCAAATACGATCCCTCTTCACTGTGTCCCCTTAATGCTACCCTGGCTTGTCCTGGGCAAGTGCTGAATGTGAGGTCACAGAGGTCGCAGAGGAAAGAAAAAACTCACTAAGAGCTCTCCACCTACCCCTCCCTCTGATTTTAACCATGGTGCTCTACGATCTCCATGGAATTTTTTAAACTTTCAGTATTATTCACCTTCAAACATATCATTGCTCAAATGTAAAACACAATCATTACAACATGCAATAAAATAATACATACAAAATTAACTCTGTCTCTTTCAAAAGCTACATTTCTGCATCATCTTTGAGATATTTTTTAAAAATATATTGGACAACATAAGGGATGTAGAATTTTGCCAGGCGATAATCAAGCAGGTTCGCTTTTTTACCTTCTGGCCAGGAAATCCAAATGGCCCAGGAGCTCCAAACGGTCCTTGTTCCCCCTATAGGTAACCAGAAACATGCCTTTTATAAGAAATGTAATTGGGTGACAAATTATTTCATTGTCATTTAATTTGAGTGACACATGGCCATGGAGATTCTGTGCAAAATCTTAACATCCTAACACTGCTTTTGGGGTGCAGCAGTTTTGTGCTTTCGTTTTTGCACGCACAGCTGAAGAATGGGATCCGTAAAGTGTGTGCATGTTTGCGCGCACTGGTCTAACTTACGAATGACACTCAACTGCATTTACTAGTGAAACTGTACTTATCTGTATAATGGTGCACACTTACCTTTAATCCCGGAAAACCTGGAGATCCATGGGAGCCAGGGTCACCCTAATCAATTCACAAAAACCGACACAAACAGAATTAAATTAAAATGCATGCACCAGCACAAGGAATCATATCTCACCTTATGAGATTGCTCTATGGATAGTTAATCTTATCTGCAAAGGTAGTTGAATAAAAGGAAATAAATATAAAGGAAATAAATAGAAATAAATATAGCTTCCATTTCTTATAACATTTACTATTTTAACTGGTCTTTAGTCTTATTTAAAAAAATTTATGTCCTCGCTGGTGCTTTCAATTAAGAACATATTTTTGTTGTTGTTACTCTTCCATTTTAGTTTATTTAACTTAATGCCTGCACTGGGCTAAATACTTTGAAATCATTGCAATATAATTTGCCTAGAGATTAATAGCTGCTCCATGCATCACCAGCAATAAGAATCCCTGAGGAAGCCAGTGTTGTCCCATTCAGCACTAAATCTAGAGCCACATAAACTCAGTGCCCATGCCCTCTGGGGTCTGGCCTCCCTAGTCACGCCACGAATGGGGATCACATTAGTGACACGTGTGGTGACGCCTGAGGCCTGATTCTGTGCTTCTTTCCCAGCTCCTGCCCATATATCAGTACCTCCTGTTATCAAACAGGCTTAAATGAACAGTTTCAAGTTACTATCACACCGACACTGGCCAGGCAGGGAATGCCACAGTCCTGTTACTTCCCTCCAATTCCTCTCTCTTCCCCTTGCCTGTTTTATCTAAATGATGTCAATGGAAGGGGTGTTCTGGGACTTGGAGCTACTACACAATTCTTGTTGTCAAAAGCATACTGTTCCCATTTGGGATAATCCCACTTTTGAGCTCTCAGAAACAGTTACCTGGTTTTATAAAAATGTGAGAGAGAAACTGACTGAAGTTAAGGATGGCATGAATGATCCTTACCCGGGGACCCGGGAAGCCAGGAATGCCTTTCTCTCCCTTTTCCCCAATGCCAGGTTCTCCCTTAAAAAGATGACAATGTTTACAGGGGTTCAAACCACATATTTCAGCAACAGAGAATGCAAAAACAAAAGGAGAAATAAAAATTATCGCCAGCAAGTTAAACAACACTTTAGAACAGACACCTTACAGGGTTATGATAAAATAGTGAAACATTCTAGTAACATATATTAACATTTAAGGGAATGATAAAGACCACACAAATTTTTGAAAAATTGAGATAGCACATCATACAAATAAAAAAGGTTATTTCAATTAATTACCTTGTGTCCTGGAGGTCCCGGAGGTCCAATCATTCCAGGTATTCCTTTTACACCCTAAAAATCATAATGAATATAATCTGGTGTATTCTCATTATTTAACATTTTGAATTCCATCTCTTTCAGAAATTGCCTCTTTCAACACGCATTTTACTAATTTTTAAAATAAGAGATTACTCTTTAACTCACTAATTAGTAAGTAAGATCCAGGCACACCTATTAACCTGACACTGTCCAGGCCAGTTCTGTGTGACAGGTGCGATGTCATGGGGTGCAGGTGGGGAATGACCATGGAGCCAGGGCAACAGGTGCAAGCTGGGACCGCAGCCACAGAGGGGACTGTCTCATTTTGAGCAAATTAGTGAAATTTAATCCAGTCATTGAAAATCGTCAACAGAGCCTGCATGTGGCACCTGTAACATCAGCACTGGAGGCTGACAGAGGAGCTGATCTTTGCCAAGAGTCTATTATGTGCCCAGTGCCATGCATCAGTTTCCTTCTCTATCATCAAAACATCAAGCCCAGATGTGACATCTAAAGGACAACAGGACACACATCAAAGACAATATAATGGAGCACCAGATGCTGAAGGACATGTCACAGCTGAGCAGACCAAACTAGGCCTGGGTGACCTTGAAAACATTGGCAACCTTCTCAAGCCTCATTTTCCAGCCCTGTCCAATGGGGCTAATAGCAGCAGCGACCCGTTGAGGAGGCTCCGGGGCCAGCACAGCGATGCCTGCGGCGCTCAGTGCCCGGCTGGCTCAGGGTGTGTCCGGGCGCTGCTGGCTATTACTACTTGGCCAAAGTGACACAGGGACTGGAATTACCTTTTGTCCTTTAAGGAGACAAGAATCCGGTGGCTGTATCAGCAGGGTCGGCCCAGGAAAACCTTGCTGGCCAACCTCGCCCTTGAAAAGAAATCAAGATAATAGGAATTTCATAGGAACTTTATTTTGAAGTAAAACTTAAAATAAGGAAGACCTTCACTTGTGTAGTGTGATGTGATGCTTTTAATCATGTGTGTCATGGATTTAAAATCAAAATCATGGCCTATAAATGATATAATTTTAAGTATTTATTGTTTTTCATAAATAATACACACTTATTGTTAAAAATAAATTTAAAAAATATAAGTGCTCCATAATCTTACCATCCAGAGATAGCTTCCATTAAAACTTTGATATAGTTCTTTGGGGGGGGGTGCTGTGCATAAGTGTGTGTGTATAGTTGTACACACATGCATGTGTATATGTGTAAACATGCATGCATGTGCAAATTGTCCATGTGTACATACATGTATGTGTGATTAAATGATGTGCCAAATACAATTTAAAATATATAATCATAATACTATATAAACTACATAAACATAATTTAAAATATACAATATAGTTTATATTTTTATATCATTTAAATTTTAAAATAGTTTTATANGTCCTGGAGGTCCCGGAGGTCCAATCATTCCAGGTATTCCTTTTATACCCTAAAAATCATAATGAATATAATCTGGTGTATTCTCATTATTTAACATTTTGAATTCCATCTCTTTCAGAAATTGCCTCTTTCAACACGCATTTTACTAATTTTTAAAATAAGAGATTACTCTTTAACTCACTAATTAGTAAGTAAGATCCAGGCACACCTATTAACCTGACACTGTCCAGGCCAGTTCTGTGTGACAGGTGCGATGTCATGGGGTGCAGGTGGGGAATGACCATGGAGCCAGGGCAACAGGTGCAAGCTGGGACCGCAGCCACAGAGGGGACTGTCTCATTTTGAGCAAATTAGTGAAATTTAATCCAGTCATTGAAAATCGTCAACAGAGCCTGCATGTGGCACCTGTAACATCAGCACTGGAGGCTGACAGAGGAGCTGATCTTTGCCAAGAGTCTATTATGTGCCCAGTGCCATGCATCAGTTTCCTTCTCTATCATCAAAACATCAAGCCCAGATGTGACATCTAAAGGACAACAGGACACACATCAAAGACAATATAATGGAGCACCAGATGCTGAAGGACATGTCACAGCTGAGCAGACCAAACTAGGCCTGGGTGACCTTGAAAACACTGGCAACCTTCTCAAGCCTCATTTTCCAGCCCTGTCCAATGGGGCTAATAGCAGCAGCGACCCGTTGAGGAGGCTCCGGGGCCAGCACAGCGATGCCTGCGGCGCTCAGTGCCCGGCTGGCTCAGGGTGTGTCCGGGCGCTGCTGGCTATTACTACTTGGCCAAAGTGACACAGGGACTGGAATTACCTTTTGTCCTTTAAGGAGACAAGAATCCGGTGGCTGTATCAGCAGGGTCGGCCCAGGAAAACCTTGCTGGCCAACCTCGCCCTTGAAAAGAAATCAAGATAATAGGAATTTCATAGGAACTTTATTTTGAAGTAAAACTTAAAATAAGGAAGACCTTCACTTGTGTAGTGTGATGTGATGCTTTTAATCATGTGTGTCATGGATTTAAAATCAAAATCATGGCCTATAAATGATATAATTTTAAGTATTTATTGTTTTTCATAAATAATACACACTTATTGTTAAAAATAAATTTAAAAAATATAAGTGCTCCATAATCTTACCATCCAGAGATAGCTTCCATTAAAACTTTGATATAGTTCTTTGGGGGGGGGTGCTGTGCATAAGTGTGTGTGTATAGTTGTACACACATGCATGTGTATATGTGTAAACATGCATGCATGTGCAAATTGTCCATGTGTACATACATGTATGTGTGATTAAATGATGTGCCAAATACAATTTAAAATATATAATCATAATACTATATAAACTACATAAACATAATTTAAAATATACAATATAGTTTATATTTTTATATCATTTAAATTTTAAAATAGTTTTATATTTTTCTTTTATAATACTATTTTTTGCATATTTTCTTATTATACTAGAAAACCTATTCTTCAAAAACATGATTTTTATGTTACGTGATTGTCAGAACAGCCTCCACAACCCAGGCAGCGCATACATCCTAACATCTGCTCCTCCGGGCCAAAGGGGGCTCTTACCGGGTCTCCCATCTGCCCCTTGACTCCCACGCCAGGACTGCCCTGGAAAAGAAAATAATAAATTGATCTCATTGCTTTTGAATACTAAAGAGGTAACTATAAGCAAGACCTCCTGTTAAGTAATGTGTTGAAGTTTGTTTCTTAAGTACTTTGGGAGGTCTAGTAAGAGGAAAGACATCCTGACAAACATCGGAGGTCGTTCATGCCACTGTGCCTGGGCTCTGCTTGCATATTTTACTCACATCGCGGCTGCCTACCTTCACACCCGGGCTCCCAGGATGGCCCCAAGGTCCCTAAATCAAAGGCAAAAACACGCAAATCACATGGCAGTCGCAGAAACCAGAATGTGTCTTTGCTGACTGTCTCGGCTCCTCTTCAAATACCCTAATTTTAAAACACCCATGACGGGCTTCCTATCTCAGGGGGCTGCTTGCTAGCCCCCCCTCCAGGAGGGGCCCATGACTCTCAATAGACCCACACTGCTGAGAGCATGTGCTGATTCATCATGGCATGTTTTCTCAAAGGACCCACCCGGGCCTGACCCAAGATGGAAATGTTGCTTTTTTTGCTTTACTTAAATGTCAAATCCCAGTTTTTAGAGGGACAGCATGAGCGGGCTGTACTTACCGGTAACCCCGGCTCTCCTGGGTATCCCATTGGGCCTGCCGGTCCTCTACCACCCCTTGATCCCTAAACATGAGAAAAATCAGTGCATTTGTTACCAAAAACCATAATCATTCACAGCAAGAGCTGCATGTAATCCCAGGTGGATATAAACCTCCAGAGAAATCAGTCCCGACATCGCCTGCCTGAGTGGCTATCTTCACAGCGGCTCTGCCATGGCCCTGGGCACAGAGTCATGTGGCCCAGGTACCCAGCAGGTGTGACAGCTCCTACGTTAGCGTCAAATTAAACACCAGAGATCAACCCACTTTCTTACAAATAAATTTTGTAATGGCAAAAGTAGAGAGCAAAGAAGCCTGTTACTAGCTACTCCTGATTTCATATATGCTGTAACTTTGAAATACAACAGGATGCCTTTCAATTATTAATATTAATTAGTATTAATATGAAAAGGAAGGCAGAAACTTGCTAAGGTTCCAGGTCAGCCTCATGGTGGGAGACCTGTGCAGTCACATAGGTTTCCTGCTCTGTGGTCACCCCCTTGACATTCTTAACACTTTTGAACAAGGGACCTACATGTTCATTGTGCACTGCGTGGGCCCCACGCATTTTGTGGCCAGTCCTGCTGGGGTACAAACCAGTGGGGACAGTAGGCTACCTGAGATCACACAGAAGCACATGCCTGCTCAGACTTACTGGTAAGCCGGGAGGTCCTGGGTCTCCTCTGTCACCCTGCAATAATGACACATTGCTTTAGAAGAGCATCACCATTTCTTAACACACACGTGCTGTGAAAGTAGGCACACACACGCGAATTGTTTACACTAACGTGCAGTCTGTTCAGTTTTTCGGTGTCGAAAGACAACTGCGGAGGGCTCTGTGGAGGTGATCACGGGCTCCACTCTCAGGCCCGAATTCTGCTTCTACTCAGCCAGAGCCAGAGGAGGGTGCTGGAGCGGTGAGCACGCGCAATCGAGATGAGATTTTCTCTTTCCATTTAAAATGTTCCAAGCCCTCAGTCCAATGGTCCCGTTTCATCACAGTCTAACCGTCTCTGGTCTGGTACCAGACCCTGCCTCCCTTCCAGACCCGTTCCCTCGATCACCGGAGAGGGGACGGGAAGGGGACTGCGTGGGAATTCCCTCCCGCCTGCCCATGCGGACCCACCGCTTTGCCACTCTGCCCCGAGGCTCCGCCTGCCCTAAAGAATCAAAGGGCAACATTCTCTCAAATGCAGACTTTTTTCTAAAATGTAAAATACAACATATCATAAAATATATGCTAGAAAGAAGTCTACATTAACTATTTTTAAGTGGACAGTTCTGTGGCATGAAGCACATTCTCACTATTGGGTAACCATCACCACCACCCATCTCAGAGCTTTGCCATCTTCCCCAACTGTACCCCTCAGATACTAACCCCCACTTCCTCTCCCCCAGCCCTTGGCAAAAACCTTTATATTCTCTGTCTCCATGAATCTGAGAATTCTAGGAGCCTCACATAAATGGAATCACCCAATACTTGTCCTGTGACTGGCTTACTTCACTCAGCATAATGCCCTCAGGGTTCACCCCTGTTGTAACACGTGTCAAAATTCCCTTTTTAAAAAAAATTTATTTTTGTTGTTGAAAGAATTACAGATGTCCCCATTTTTTCCCCATTGACCCCTTCTATCCCATATCCACCCTCCGCCCCAGGTTGTCACCACACTATTGTCTGTATCCATGGGTTATGCATTTATGCATATAAAAGAATGCCCTTCTTGTTAAAAACTAATACTCCACCGTATGTATGTACCACTTTCTGTTTACCTGTTCATCCCTCACGGGACACTTGGGCTGCCTGCATATTTTGGCTCTTGTGAGTAGTGCTGCTACATGAACTTATGGATGCAGATATCTGTTTTTGAGTCCCTCCTTTCATTTCTTTTGGTTATATACTCAGAAGTGGAATTGCTGGATTGTAGGTTAATTATGCATTTAATTTTTGGAGGAATCCCCGTACCATCTTCCATAGCAGATGCACCATATGTGTTCCCACCAGCAATGCAGAGGGGCTCCGATTTCTCCACATAATTGCCAACACTTATTATTTTCATTGTTTAAAATAATAACCATCCAAATGAGTGTGAAGTGGATATAGTTTCTCAAGACCATTTTTCTCTCCAGGGTTATTTAATACTCTCTTTCTCCTTAAGATGATGAATTCTCTATATCTATCTTCCCCTCTGTCTCACCTGTTCTCTCTTGCACAATTATAAAAAATACTCACCACAACTAATAATGTACAGCAAATTATAGTTTACAATATGCTGCAATGTAAGTTGTTATAACAGCTCATCAGCACTGAGAAGACGACAGGGTAGGTATTATTTTCTTTCACGAATATGGAAAAAATTAGGCTCAGAGAGGCTCAGGGGTTACTTAAAGTCACAGTAGTATGTCGGGACTAGTTCACAGCTTCTAATACACATGCTGGTTCCTAGAACAACCCTGCTTTTGATGCTAAGCTTATTAACAGATCATTTAAGCCATAAAGAAAAGCATAGTTTTTTCTGTCTAACAAGTATAAATAGACATAGAGGCCACAAGCAAATAATGTGAGCTCACTAAAGGGATCACCACTCAGGTGTGCCCACTCCCAGAGTCATGGAACTCAGGGCCTAGTAGGAGCAACCTAGAACTAGTCTTTTCTAGCTGACAGAGACTATTCTACCTTACAACAAATGACCACATCTTGAAAATGCACTGTTCTCTCTCCTCTTGATTATACATAGTGATCTCCTCCTTGCCCATGGCCTCTCATAGTAGAGAGTTGAGGTGGTCATCCAAGAGTTTATCTATGAATATTTGTGTATCACTCTCTGCTAGAAACACAAAAGCGCTGAATTTACTAAGGATGGCGCTAAAAGATTCCTGAATTTTCCAGTTCAATAGTGATGACTTCTATTACACTGGAATGCAAGTTTTAATATTACATTTTCACTACAAATAAATCTGTGCTACCCAACTGGAATAATTTTTCTTCCCAGGGGACACCTGATAATGTCTGGGGATATTGTGTGGGTGGGGTTGCTATTGGCATCTAGTGGGTAGAAGCCAGAGGTACTGTTTCACATCCTATAATTTACAGGTCAGCCCTCACACAAATGATTGTCTGACCCCAAATGTCAATAGTGCCATGGCTGAGAAGCCCTGAAATAAGTGTATTCGTTGCAACTCTGCAAAAATAGCTAGGAGGTTACAGCCAGAACAACTAAGGCCAAGTGCCTTCACACAAGAAGAACGATGCCCTCCCAGCGGGTCAGGGTGATGAAAACCAGCGCTCAGGGATGTTTCAGAGGGAACTTCCGTCCATGTATTTCCCACATGGGTTTACCTATGTTGGAAAAAATTATTTTAAACCTACCGTGATCAGGATGCTTACCTGAATACCTTTAATGCCACCGAAAATGAACAGTGAATTTCCTTTCTCTCCTTTTTCCCCAGGAAGGCCCTGAAAATAAAATGTTCACTTAAGAGAGGAAGAAAGCATATTACTATTTCAACATTTTATTTTCTATTTGAAATAGTACCAGTAAAATTATCATTATAGTCAGGTTGCACCAGTGGAGATTTCTTTAGTCTCTTAATTATCATTATCACTCATTATATATGGTTCTCATATATAGTCATTAATAGTCAGTTAAAATCTATTAAGAAATCTCCAAAGACAGAACATCTGCTAATATAGTTCTATTATGAATATATGATATATATTTATGTAGCTTATATATAACACATATAATATACACTAATATATTGATATATATTTATTAATTATTTAGCAGGGAAATTGAATTTTCCTTCACAACATAATGCACATGTACTGTTCTTACAAGTAGACAGTTTTGCAGTTGTCAATAATATGCTGTAGAAACAGTTGTTTAAAAATTAATTTTTATCCATTTCACTATTTATATTTAAAATAGAGCCTATGCATCCTTTATAAGATTAACTTTTAAAAATCAGCATGTTCCTTTTGTAAGTTTTTTGTATGTTAGCTGCACATTTATTTAGGGTAATTTTTTAAAAGTGAATGAAACACCTCAGTGTGTTCCTTCCCCCCCAAAGTTTTCCCACTTAATATCTTAATACCTTACTTAATATATTAATGTATCTTAACTGCGTTACCACCTAAAAATTTTAACCATTTTCATATATCAAGCTCCTGCAAAGGACACACAGATGTCAAAGTTAATCCTCTTGGAAGGTGCCTGACTCTGCTTCCAATGGTTTAGTGGTAAGTTCCATCAACAGCCCCCTTGAGCCATCAGATGGCCTACGCAGGCAGTCCTTGCCTCGCACAGTTTCAACATGCATGGATTTCAGTCCCATGGTGAGTAAAATAGCACCAGTCCTCCAACTAAGCAGTTCAAATTTCAGTTACCACTGTGCATGAACTGAGTAACTGCGTGGAGCACAAACTTCACTGCCAGCTCGTCGGTCCACAGATCACGCCTCCGTGACGGATGGGACTCATGATCACTCACTGATCACATCACTCTGCTCAAAGTCTGTCTGTGGCTGGTCACTGCACATCTGTTACCTCACACACACACACACACACACGAGCACGCACGCACATGCACACACATACATGCACACGCATGCGCGCACACAGGCCTGCAGGGAACCCTGAACGATAAACAGTATAAGCTCTGATCCCTGTGACGACAGCCGGGAGCATCTCAATGGAACATCAATGGGTCTTATCGCTTCCTTCCTTAAAACCACCCAAAGCTTTCTTAGGGCATGGAAAAGAAAGCCCAGCTTCCTCCCACAGCCTACAAGACCCCAGGTGTCCTAGGCCCTGCCCACCGATCGTGCCTCATCCTCGATGCCCCACTTGGTCACCCTGCTCCCACACTCTTGGATTAACTCCATTTCTTGAACTCATCAAGCCTGTTCCCACTGTGGGGCCCTTCACTTCAGATTCCCATTAGGATGAGCTACGGGCATCTTACTGGGGGGCCTTCGAGACCAGGAGCTCCTCTTTCTCCTGGAAACCCTGGATCACCTCTTGAGCCATTGCAGCCATCCTTGCCAGGTTTGCCTCTGAATCCAGGAGGCCCTGGGTGCCCCTACAGGAAACAAAATGAGAGGTGAAGCTTTTTTTTTTTTTTTTGTAAGAATACTATAAGACAAAGATTATGCAATACGGGGACCCCAATTAAGGCAACTGTGACTCATATACTGCTTAATTTTGTGAAACTTCCCCATGCACAGTGCTACGTAGCATAGTAAAAATCAACAGATAAATTCTAACATACCCCCAATTTAAATTCATTCAGTTTGGAGTATTCTGGGAGATTTGGGAGGAAACCTTCCTTTAAATCCTTAGAAAGATTCTAATGAAGAGTAGAACTCCCCAAATACCTCTCCCTTCTTTCATTTGGTTTTCTTATTAGAAACAAGAGTCTTAAACCCACTTCCAAACTTAGGGCTCATCAACAAGTAAAAACTATCATTGTGAGTATGCATTTATTTCCAGAACATCGTACTTGACGAGTAACTAGCTCATATTTTGGAATGTTTTTTTCTAACCTATTTGAAAAGCCTTGCTATTCGAGTAAAGTGTTTTAGTATTGGAGTTATTCCACAAAATCAGAGGAAATAAAGAAGAGTTTGGCATATATATATATATATATATATATATATATATATATTTTGCACATGCCATTCTATGGAGTGTTTCTTCTTTCTTGAAAAATGTGGAGAAAATTTAGGGATACTTACAGGTATACCATCCAAACCTGGAAATCCAGGAACACCAGTGGGACCCTAAAATTCCAGACAATAAAACAGAGTTATAAAAGTTACTAAGTTATTAGACTAACAAGTTGATTTACTTGAAAACATAATTAATGCTCTTTTTTTTTTAACCCTTAGCAGTCACTGTTACTTATTTTTACATGAGCTTAAACACTAACATTTAAGAATCAACCTTCTGTACTTTTTTTGTACTAAGGAAGCAAACTTGGCAGAAAACATCCAACATCCTGCAAGCTGGGAATTCAACTTCTCAGAATCTATCAATCCTGGAGAAACAAGCTCTTAAATGTGGGCACAGGTAATTCACAGGCTGCTTTTCTCACACCTGCTCTACAGAGATTTAGGATAAGATCTCGAATTCTCATCCACAAGGAAGAAACTATAGTTTTTTAATCCGTTCTACAGCATATTAAATGGTATTTTTAAAGAAATAAGTTCCATCAACATAAATTGATATGCAATGATCTTTAAGCCACATGGCTGAGTCAAAAAAGAGAAATGCCCAGCATGGTACATATAATATCATTTAGGGTGTGTGTTTTTTAAAGCCATGAACCAATACAGCTCCCCACTGGGCACAGTCATGCATTTAAGTGCATAGAAAAGATTAGAGGAACATGCTCCTCCAGAGGGGTTAGGAAGGGGGGCTGGTGAGGGAGAGGAGTTCAGGCTTAATTTATTACAAGGGGCAAGGAGGTGCTGGAGAATGGGTAATATACCCTTTCCCTTAATAAGGGGTTTACCTTATCTCCTCTATCGCCTGCTGCTCCGGGAGGGCCACTGTCCCCTCTCATCCCTTTCGCTCCTGGGATTCCAGTGGGTCCTGGAGGTCCCAGCGGTCCAATAGGGCCCTGTGGCCCTGGTGGTCCTGGGTGACCCTAAGAAAGAAGATTTAAAGGGAGGTAGGCTGATTCTTAAGTGATGTCTCCTAACGCAAATATATGGCCACTTCGGCTTGCAGAAGATTGAAAGAGCAGAGGCGGAGCAAACTCTGATACAGAAACAAAAATGTCAGTTCATCGCGAAAAGCAGCAGGAAGGCTGCCTTTTTCAATCCAGATGCAAGCGGTGTGATAAACTGGAACGACCACGTGTACACACACTTATCCATAAACTGATAATAGGTCTCTTACGATTTTCATTCTGTCAGTGACATTTATAAACCTTGAGCTGTGTGGTGAAGCCAGGAACTTAAAAAAATTAGTCTTATTACCATGATGTTAGCGATAAGAGGCAGGGGCTGGGGGAAAAGGGCGCCACGTGTCGTTTCCTTCAAATGGCTAATGATTCCCCTGCCCTTAAGGGGAAAATGGTTTTCTAAGCTGCTTCTACTTCATTTCTTAGACGTGCGCAGTAGGCCCTGGGTCACGTTATATCTACACCATCTGACTCTCCGTGAATGAAGAGCTCGCCTCTTACTCGGGGGCAGAAGTTCCACGAGCTGGGCTCTGCCCTGCCCCTGCCGTGGGGACATTGCTCCCTCTGCCTGCTCTGCACCGAGCGAGGCGGCGGGTCCGCCGGGGGCGCGTTCAGGTCCTGCCCCCGAGCAGCAGCTGCAGGCCGCGCTCCGTCTACCCGGAGGAAGGAGCCTGGCCTCGAGGAGCACCTGCTCTTGCCCGCCCGCCCGTGACCTGCTCCCCTCTCCGTCCCGGGCCCTTCATCATCATCACATTTTCTGAGTATCCATAAAATTACTAAAAGCTTAGAACTTTCGAGGAAGTTTAAATGTATAAGTATGTGTTACAAAAAAAGACAGCAATAAAGTATAAAATATAATTACATGGGCACAAACCATGTAGGGGCATTTGGAAGGCAAATCACTTTTCCGTAGGTCGTGCAAAAATTCTAAACTCCAGTCTCAAAGCAAGACTAAATAGAGACTTCAGCTGACCTTTCCTATCCATGCTAATTAATCTTACTTCGTTACTTAATTAACGGAAGTTAAAAGTTCCCATTTTTCCTGAACGCAGGGCTCAGGAAATAACAGCTTTTTGTCGGGTTTAGGAACGCCCTTTGGGTCTTCCACGTAATTAACTTTACCGAAGCTCCTCCGTTATCCCTGTGAATGCTGTTATTAGGAACAAGGACATGCACGTGTCAGCAAACGGGCAGCTGAGAAAGAGCCATCAGCCGGCTAGGGCCCCCCAGTGGGATTCGTTCTCGACGCCCAAGGCCAAATCCCGTGGGCCAGTGGCACTTTGGAGGGAAAAGAGGAGAGAAAGTTTCCCCCAGTGTAAGAATCACGGCGCTCCCCGCAGTGCAGCGGCTGTCCTGACCTGGGCGAGCCGTCTAACACACTGCCACGGAGAAACAAGTCAGGAGGGGGTCCGCACTGTCACCCTCTTCCTCCACCTCCTCCCTCCTCCCTGCCCCTGGTCTGTCGCGCGGACCTCCTAGCCATTTCTGAGCAAGCTCTGTTCCTCCACAGGCTGTGGGGTCCTGTCCCAGACGTGTCCCTCCACCCCCCCAAGTCATCTGTCAGTGCCCCCGGGAAAGGCTCCCCGATCTCCGGCCCTCCCCCAGCACCCCCTTCAGAATCGGACGCCTCTCCACGCTGTCCCTGCAGTGACACTTCTCACCTGTTCCGGGGATCACCTGTCTTCCCAACCCCATACCCACCGGACCCCGAGCTCCTGGAGGGCAGAGTCGAAGCGCCCAGGGCCATGATGGTGAGAAAAGCAGAGAACAATTAATACGTAATAAAGCAACACCGGCAGACCCCACCCACCCACCTAAGGGACGTCCGTGGAACAGGAAAGGGAGCTGCTTTCTCGTGTTTCTGAACAGCCGCCCCGGAGCCTTGGCTGAGGGTAGTTGTGGAAACCTGTGCCGATGGTGATGGTGATGATGATGGCTCCGCCCCCCAGCAAGCACAGCACCAGCCTCACCAGGAGCAAGGGCCCTGGTGATGGTGAGGATGATGGCTCCGCCCCCCAGCAAGCACAGCACCAGCCCCACCAGGAGCAAGGGCCCTGAATGCAGCGATGCCGGTGTCCTTTGTTGTTGAAATAGACCAGGGGCCTTCTTACGCCTTCGTTTCAACCACATTAAAAGGCAAGTACAACCCCTACTTTGCAATTGGAAAAAAGACCGTAAAACACTAAATTTTCAATTTCAATGGCCCTTGGAAGACTTCGTTGTTTGTTTTATGTTTAGTGCTTTTTTCCCATATTAAGAGGTATTTTATTATAGAATAAAAATTTTAAGTACATTCAACCTTGCACAACAGTATTAAATCTGCCAGAAAGCGGTTCATGAAAATTTCCCAAATACAAGTCTTCAAAATACTCACTGCTAGTTCACCCAACTTGAGTAAATAATTTATCTCAGCCATGGAGACAATAATTCCATTTCATTAAATTATTTCACATAAAAGAAGGGGTCAAAAACCAACTGTGGTTACTGTTTTATTGGGCTATAAGAGTATTAACTTAAGGATAAATAGGAGTAAGAAGCAGGCCCATAATAGGCATTTCTAAAACAAGAGAATCATTAAATAACCACAGAATTTTTAAATCGTTTTTAAAGAAATATTCTGCTCCTAACCATGCACCCTGCACCCACGAACAGTAATGTGATATCCCCGGGATTCAATCCAACGAAAGGAAAGCACCCAGTGGAATGACTGGCTGTCCACATTGGGTGTCCTGATTTTTTTTTTCTACTTTGTGCACAAAATAGCCTCTGTGGTTTACGATTTTCAGGGAGAGGCAGTGAAGTCAGAAAACACATCCGCTGCCTCCAGAAACAATTGGCTGAGGAAATTGGCGTATACCACGTGATGCCACCAGGCCATCCTTCTTTCTACTAAAAAGCCAGGCTGACACTGAGTCATCAGACCCATATAGGCCTCCCTGCTGCAGCTACAGCAGCGCTGGGCTCTGGGGCCAGCTGTGCAAAGAGAAGACAAAGGCCATCCAGGTGGACAGAGTCGCAAGCCTGCGCGACTCTCTGAGGCCAGAGCCTCCCTTCAGGACTCTGCCCGAGGTGGATCAGCTGTAAGATGCATCTCTGGGGAAGGGCTCAGATCCAGTGATTTTTGTTTCACAACTTGGCAGACGAGACCCACAGATAAGAGAATACGTACGTTTTTTAAAACTAAATCTTCCATCAGGTTTTTGGGCCGCCACCGATCGGCTCGTCCCCGGGGACCAAATGCTGTCCCCACACACCTCGGCCACGGCCTTGCACCGTATCAGTTCTACACGTGCACTCAAGGAAGGCTGAATCAATGAAGACCCTTATCATTAAAGTGAACAGAGAGGCATTCGGCGGCACCCCTCCCGCTTCTCTTAACGGTTGGATGTAATTCAAACATGAAGTCACTAGGTGACACTACAACATCATTTAAACCCTCGTAAAGACTGCGCAGCAAGAAGCTGGGGCCTCGGGTGTCCTCCCCTATCACAGGGAGGCCAAGGGAAGGGGTAATAAAAATAACAAAAAGGTGCTACTCGAAGGTTAGCCCGTGTGAGGAGACTAATGGGCGGTGGCAGGCGTTTTCTGGTATCTGAAGTTCCCTCACTGTCTAGGGAAGAGGCTGGTCAGGTCAGCCTGGAGTGACAGTGGCCCGGGGTCTTCAGCGCGTGCAGTGGAAGGCGCACCGCTGGGCACCAGAGGCATGGCCTTGCCGCTGGACACTCGGCTCGCCCTTGGGCCGGGTCACTGAGGAGCGCTTTTCCCGTTTTTAAAAATGGCTCAGAATCAGCCCAACGTCGCACACCAGCTCTGGGGACCTCAGGGGGCAATGTGGAGAGGTCGTGGTCGGCTCCGGCTCCGAGGAGCCAGGAGCCAGCTGACTGTCCTCCGGCGTCCCTGCCACCCCCGCCCCCTCGGTGTTTTCTCCTCCCTGTGTCTTCTGTGCTGTTCCCCTTCCCCCTGGTGGCAGGGGTCCCCCTGAAGCTCCCTGGGGCTGCCCTGGCCTCTCCTCCCCTCACTTTCTCTTGCACAAACTCATCTCTCTCCAGGGGGCCCATGGCATCCAACTCTGAGTGATCGCTCCATTTCCCTCCTGAGCCCAGGCCCCTCTTTCTGAGTCCTGTCACTTATCCAAATGACCTCGAACTCCAGGAATCCAAATCTGGACTCGTCGACTCCCGATCATCCCCCCAAATGTGCTTGTCAGCCACACACCACTGTGCACGCAGCTGCTCACACCTCGTCGGAGTCCCGGGCACCTCCACAGCCTACCTCGTCGAACTGTCCCACACAGAGTCCCCCTCTCCTTCCCACCAATTCTGCCTCCCAAATATTCCCGACACCCACCCACTTCCCCCCGCTCCACGCTCAACCCCAGCTAAGCCAGCACGACCTCCCACCTGGAGCAGACTCCCAACAAGATTTCCCTAATATTGTTGCCCCCCCACACTTGCTCTCCAAACAGCGGCCAGAATGATCTTCTTACCACATACATTCAACCTGCCTCCAGTCTTCTTAAAATCTTCCCCATCCTCCCTAATCATCCAGGGTAGTCTAGATCTGCTTTCCCAACTGCATCTCACGCCACTTGCTCCCTCACACTCTGATCAAAACTTTGTGTCCACCTTGTGGTCCCTCAAGCATGCCAGCCTGTCCCCTTCCCATGCCAGGGCCCAAGTAGAGGCCGTTCTCTCTACCCAAACACTTGTAGCTGGTTGAATGGTGGCCACAAAAAGATATGGTCTCAGCCTGATCCCCAGAACCTGTGGATATCCCCTTAGATGCAAAAGATGTGATAAAGTTAAGGATCTTGAGATGAAGAGTTTACCCTGGATTATCTGGATGGGCCCTAAAGGCCATCATATGAATCCTGATAGGAGGGACACAGGTGAATTTGGATACAGACACATAGAGGAGAAGATGTCATAAAGACCAAGGCAGAGACTAGAGTGACACGGCCACAAGCTAAGGAATGCTGGCAGCCACCAGAAGCTAGAAGAGACAAGGAAACCATCCCCCCCTATTGCCTATGGAGGGAGTATGGCAATGCCCTTGCCTCTGGACTTCTGCCCTCTACATCTTGAGAGTAAATACATTTCTGTTGTTTTAAGCCATCAAGTATGTGACAATTTGTTAAGACAGCCCTAGGAACTAATAGGACATCCTTCTTTCAGGCTGTCTGACTCCACCAGGTCCAAGCTGAGGTGTTAACTCATAGCCCCCTTGCCCCATCCCACCCCACACGTGCTCCTGTGCAAAACCAAGTTAGGGCACCAAACTATGCACCCAGTGAGAGAGCAAGGATCTCCGTCTGCCTAGAATGGTGCCCGGCACTCAGCACCACCCAGAAATAACAGCTGGAGGGTGAACCTCTGCCTCTCCTGCTGGGCTCTGAGCTCCAGGCCACAGGAACTTTCTTCTGTATCATCAAGGCCTCATAGCTCACAGATGCCTGGCACATGCAGGATGCTCCGTGGCTATTTGCTGAATGAATTACAGATAAGACTATAAGACAAAGGAGTGAAAAAAATTAGCACCTTGGAGACATAGCTGTTTCCCTGTGGATCTCCTAGAAATTTACTGAAAATAGTATTTGAAAGGAGAAATATATTTTTCTTTCCTACAAACTTTGTAATTCAGCTTTTTAACTCATTGACACAGATGTTTCCCTGGCACTAAAGAGTGTTCTTAGGGTCACAAACACAGCTTCCCATTTTGCTACATGGGGCACGCCGTGCTGTGGGTGCACCTGTATATAGCCCTTATTTCTGACCGACAAGGGTGCCTCCACTCTGGTAATGACCTTGATCCTCTTGAGCTCAGCGCAGTCCCACATTTGCTGGGCTCCGCTCTGGCCTGGCCCGGTTCATGCTGGGTCACAGAGCTCAGCAGTCGTTGCTATGGAGTTGAACCCCACGTGAGGAGACCAAAGGCTCGCTGCCAATCACGCTTAATGAGGTGGCTGACGGGGGCAGACACTCCAAAAATCTACCTTCAGACCCAAACTGCACCTAGGATTCCCAGGGGAGGTTCTGCACACTTGGCCTGTTCGGAAAAGGGTTCATTCTACAGCCTGGAAGGCAAATATAAGATATCTCCTTGCCTTCTTTCTCAAGCACAAATGTTAGACTTGAAGAGGGATTTGGCAGCGCCCTGAGAGCCAGGTTAGTTAGCCGGAGTTACTCTTGCATGGAGGTATCAGTCATTACTGCCCCGGTAGCGCTGTGGTTACTGTTAGCCAAACAGTAGAAAATGATAGGTATGTCTCCTCCTCGGCCTCCCGGGCCCTCACGCCCGTTCAGAGATACTTCCTCAGGCACCTGCCAAAAATCCCTACAACGGAAGAGTCATTCTTTTCACTTTTTCCAGCTTTTCATTCTCCAAAAATCAAGGTTAAGGCTCCTATCAGGGAAAACACATTAACAAGCTAAGCCAGAGTTGTAAACTGGCAGCTGGCAGGCTAAGTTCTACCTGGACATTTGTTTGTTAGGCACTGGTGGTTGTTGTTGTTTTATTATTTTGTATGCTGATGACTTTACGTGATAAGTGTATTGTCCAGCTCCCCACGGTCCCCAAGGTCAACCATCACATCCTGGGGTCCCTCACTGGGTGACTTGCTGTCCCCTGATGACACTGGGTGTATAACCTCAGACAGGGCTCCATTTATCTGAAAATTCTCTGGCAGAGACAAAATGAACCAGGGAGTGAGTTCTTGTAGGAGAAAGACATGGCAAGGAAAAGAGGAAA